AGAGCAGGCTGACGAATTTGCCAATTATTTCCACAGTACATTCACTCCACACAGCACTAACAATGGTAACACAGTGTTGTATACCGACATTGTCTATTATTCTGAATCACGCTGTAGATTTAATTATTAGTCTTCCAGTCTCATTTTGTAAATACCCGAAATTCCGATAACCAATGACTTCATCCTTTCCTTACTACTCATCCTCGAACCTCGACCTCATGATCTCCTCCTTTCCTGACTAACTCCGTCTCACCCTCGGACTTTGTCCTTGGTATATCAAACCCTTACAAATTCTAATCCCCACTTCTCAAAATACGAACACATATATTATATGTTCTTCCTCAAAAATCCAAGAATAGCTCCTACCGTTACGTGCGCCGCTTCGTTAAACTATAGAATAGTCCGCTGGTAAGATTATTGTATTTTGTCAACGTGTCTCCGTTCCGTGATACTTGTACTTCATTACTTAATAAACAATCAGTATACAGAATACAACAACAGTCAACCAAGGAGATGCAATTGCAGGAAACTCAAATTCAAATACCAATACGGATCCTCGATAACATAAAAAATATAAAAAATAAAAAGTCACCAGATATCTACCTCATAAATGGAATAATTTTAAAACTACCACCAAAAGCAATAAGGTTGATTACAATAATTTTTAATGCAATCCTAAGAATACAGCATTTTCTTAGCATGTGGAAGATAGCACAAATTATAATGTTGCCCAAACCTGGCAAAGATCCACATCAAACTGCATCCTACAGGCCAATATCGCTTCTCTCAATATTCTCGAAAATTCTGGAGAGGATAATATACAATCGCCTTAAACCCATAATAGACAAAAGGAAACTAATACCTGCTCACCAGTTCGGGTTCAGAAACAAACACTCCACAATAGAACAAACTCACAGGCCTATCAACGAAGTATTTACTGCAAAAAAAAAAACTACATAGCCCTTTTTATGGATATAGAAAAAGCTTTCGATAAAGTGTGTTACGGGGGGATCAAAACTCATTTCCCGAAACAGATACACAACCTTCTCGCATCATACCGAACAGATCAAACCTTTGTTGTAAAAATCAAAGGCACGTATTCTGACATCAAAGATATACAGGGTGTCCCGTAACTCCTCGAACACCCGGAAATGGGGGGTTGCTGGGGTGACTCTGAACAACTTTTTCCTTTACCAAAATGTTGTTTCAAGCTTCATTTTTGAATTATTAACGAAAAACACTGGCCAATCAGAGCGCGCGTAGAGCCCGCGCTTAGGGACGAAGAACAGAGGCTCATCCGCGCGCGCTCGAACAAATGCGTACGCGTCACTTCTCGGTTATCGATCGCTGTCAAAAAAATTATCCCGACGCGGCTAAATCACATTGTGTGATTATATTCCCCGGCAGTAACGGTACGTCGTAATCAGACATGCAGTTTCCATTGCGTAAACTACGATTTAAATTCAATAATATATTTTTTCGAAGTACAAGACGCACCGCTTTTACCGAATGATTACGATTGTAGATGCTACTGTGCATTCGAAAAACGGAAAAATATTTTCCACACAATCAGTATTTCTGTGAGCTGTTTAAGCTGTAATCCCAAAAAACAGAGGTTTTTTCAAAGTGCCTGCGACTATAACGAACCAATTTGCTATGCTTTTTCCAGGTGTTTCTAAATTTTTTCCAATATTATTGTATCGCGAAATGGCACACCTCGTTGAATTGGAATCACTGGCGCATCTGCTATTTAAATTATCGAACAAATCGTTTAAGGTTTCAAAGATCGTAGCTGTGTGCTGCACAGTCTTTGTATTTATACCACCCGTCAACGGAGCGGTAAACATAGCAGCTGATACTTGTTTGCTAAAATCTTGAAGAGCAAACTTACATTTCATTTTATCAAAAGCATTTGGATGGACGTGCTTTTCGGATAGTTTGTAAGCTACTCGCGTACTTCTATCTGTTTCTAGATCCCAAAGTAACACTACATGACGCCACCTAACTACTGAATCCTTAATGTAAGGCGCCGTGCGACGTGCCTAGGCAACGACCGCGGGACCCCAGCCACAGGGGGCCCTAGACAAGGAGCAGCGCAGGCTGCACCCCCACCCCACGGCTTACAGGGCCCTAACGGCCGAAGAAGCGTATAAAAACGGGGAAAAGAGCAGCGGCCCACACATTATCGTACCGAACCATCGACTAGCGAACCAACGTCATTTTAATATCCGTCGTTTTAAACCCTTGTAATTCTTTACTCTTACATTAATTAAAAAGTCATGTTTTAATAAAGTAATAGAAAAAGTAATCAACTTTTTGTCAATTTTTTTTAAACAATGGATTCCTAATGGAAACACGTTCATCTGCTAGGCTTAGATAACTACCTCCCTGATCGAAAACAACTGCTCTGACCTTCAATCCTGTTTCATGCAGTGCATTTAATATTTTCATTTAGAATGACCGATAATTCATGCTTCTTAATTCGAAATTTTGATACAAAGAAAGCTAATGGTTGTTTCCAATTAGTGAACAGCCCACGTAGCATAAACACAAGAACTTGTATATCCACAGCTAAATTTCTATCCAAAGATTCTAAATCTTCGAAACCTTCAATGATCTGTCTCCTTAGGTGAAAATCCAGATACTTTTGGATGACCATCTCATCAAACATAAGAACGGAATTGCTACCTGCGACTTCCATGTATAGTCGGGGCCACGATATAGCGAGGTCGTAAAATCGGTCAGACGTCAAAGTAAACATGTTTTAGCTGCCGGGACCCGAAAATTGACAGAGATACGAGCAGATAAGTACTTGAAACCATTGTCAGGACCGTACGAAGAATTCTTGTATCCAGCGAAAGTCAACTGATTCTAATATATTTACTGAAAACTGCATGCAGCTAGGACAAATTAGGGTTTCTCCCTCTGGGGGAAGCCGCTTTTGGAAGTACGGTTACAAGTATAGGTCTTATTGAGGTCTTTAACATCTTCATTTACCTGCTCGTGTTATATACAGATAGAAAGTGCAAAAAGATTGTGTAGCTTAATATTAACATATTTTCCATTTGTAAATGAAATACCATTTTCTACTTGAAGTACCAAATCATATGCTACCATTCGTTTATTGTTGGAACCCTCAGACTGCAACACACGGCCTTGAGTGCCGCAACATCAATCGATGCCGATTCTTGAGAGTTTAATTTACGACCTCGCTATATCGTGGCCCCAACTATATGCAGATTTTAATTTAAGTGCGTCAAGTAAATTCGGCAAATTCTTGGCAAAATGTCTATTTTCCCGAACCATCGAATAATTGTGGCTGGACTTGGAAGATGAAAACCCAAGACACTGCGCATTTTATTATACAAAGCTGGAGATATTATACAATATCATGTACAACTGTTGCTCAATCTTTGCATAACATTTTCGTTTGCTTAAATAACACAAGTAAAACAAAAATTAGTAAAACGCCAGATACTTTTCGACAAATTGTTTTCTTCAAACACGTATCATTGATATTGCCTGAAGAAAGTTTATATTTTAATCGATTCAATTTGCCCGTAATTGCAAGCGAAGAATATTACATTTATCCCTCTCTTGCTTTCATTGCATCTGGATTTCCATCAGCCGCTGTTCCAAGCCATTGTATTCTTTTACTGACAAAGTGTCATCACTTTTAAAATTAGCGTCTGTTTCATTATAATTAGTATTTCCACCATGAACAAGTGAATCAAGAAGTTTCGGCACGGCATCTTTGCACAGCCGACCCGATACATGAAAGGAATTTTTAATGAAACGATGACTGCACACATATTACGCTTCTTTTCAATTCCACATTAGACATTTCCACCCAACCATCTAAACTGCAGTTAACTAACCAGATTATGCACTGATCATTGTCATTAATCGGAAATTAATGAAAAGTAGTACCATCAGTTACATCACGATTTGTTAAACCGCAAGTCGGGTAGACACACTTTTTATAATGGATTTTACGTCGGTAGACTCCATTGTCCACGATAATCTTTATTTTAATAAGCAAAAATAAAAAGAAAAGTAGTGAAAATAAAAATAAAAATATAAGAAGCGAAATAGAAATAAATTTTTTAATAGAAAGTAAAACGCAGATGTTTACTTTTAATGCATGCCATGTAAAAGAAAAATAATATATATGTATATTACTTATCTGGATCTAAGCTTTTCCGCGTAGAAATTTCCAGTCCTTACATTCACATTCGTGTGACACGCGTAACGAAATTAAAGGGACTCGAAATTTTGTCTCCTTCATTATTTAAAATAACAAATGTCTATTAGTGTTCTTGATTTCAATTCCTACCACTTATAGCGCAGTGATATAATACCAGTCCCAATCGATACAGTAGGATGTGACACGAAAATGGTAACGGGGTTCTAGGACCCCGTGGTTGTGTGACAAAACAATACATTGCATGTGTGTTCCAGTCTATATCTCGCTGTGACAAAACCTCTGATTTTTTGCACGATCGGTATTTCAGAACGTGAGACATAAAGTCTCGTAAGATGATAGGTCTATTCTGTACTTTGTCTGTGATAGTATATGATTTGTTCTTGTTCTTTGTTTTTTACCTTTATGTTAACGGAACTATATAAATTATATACCCAAGTTTTCTAAGTAAGAATAAAGAATATCCGTACATTTTATCCATTTTATCCTTTATAGTAGAACGATAGGGTTAGTACCTAAACAGCGGCTCGTTTCTTCTGCGAGTAACGGCAAATGCGCATTAAACGTCTAATTCGCCAATTTTCTTAAGCTTCGTTCTTTTGTACAATTAAAGCTTGTGAGTAATAGCTTTCAGCGTGACGTTTGAATCACAAATAAATATGGTACCAAGCAGCATGTAGTTTTATATGCACAATGTGTTTGTCATAAATTCGGCCTACATAATCAAAATGTAATTTGTTAAAATTCGTTGATTTGTAGAAAGCAAAGAACGATCCGTTAAAAACTATTTAACAAAATGGCAACTTTAAATAATGTATTAAAAGCTATAGAAGCTTTGAAAGTAGCTCAAGAATCGAACACTATTCTGTCAGATTCAAGCGCAAGGTACAAGAACAAATTGTTTGTTTTTTTTTTCTTCGTTTAATGATTATTGAAATAATCGTATGAATGTAAGAAGAAAAATTTTATTAAACGAATCATTTATTTTCTTTAAACAATCCATATGTATACACATACTCATATATGTAATAAAAAGTTGTTAAGAGCCACAAGTCAGTCTGGTAAAATGTTTAATTTATTGTTTGTTTCAATAAAAGGAAAGATAAATTAGCATGTTGCATGACGATAGCAGAAGGAATATGTTCACCAACTGTCAAGGCAGCAGCCAAGTTTCCTCAGGTTCTTAGTCTTTCAATTGAAATATTATTAACATTGTGCAATGATGTTGAATCTGATGTCAGAATGGTAGCAGATGAAACTTTAAATAAAATTATAAGGGTATATCTTAATAATTCTTTATAAGTATTGTAATCAAGCTACCAATATCTTATTTAATATCTGCTGCATTTGGTAGGCAATGGCAGATAGTAATATTGCCAAAGTTCAAATGGAACTTTATAATGGAATAAAAAGGAATGGACCAGCTAGAACATTGAGAGCCGCTCTCTGGAGATTTGGTCTTCTTAGTCATATGATTCGTCCTGCAAGAGGGAAAGCATATGTATCTAATTTAATACCATGCATAGTAACTATTGTACAGCGTTCAGAGGAGTCTGTAATTGAAACACTATCACAATCATTACCATTAATTATGAAAGCACTAGGGCCATTTATGACAGACAATGATGTCAAGGTAATTTATAAAATTTGTAATACAATTGAATGTCTGTAATATCTGTGATATTAAAACTATATTTATACTTACGTTTTTTAGACACTGTTGAAAGCATTGTTTAAAAATGTATTCTCTGTACAAGCAGCATTTCGTAGGGCTGCAGCAAATATGATTTTAGCAACATGTTTGAATTGCCGGAAACCACAGTTTTTTTTAAATTATGTGTTGAAGCATCTTCTAGGTAAACTTTTTTGATGTTACATAAGTAGAAAATAAGTAATTTTTTAGTAATTATATGTTATTTTATTATTGGTATTATAGTATGTATAAGCGAGGACGAGGGTCGTACAGCAACGATAATTGGTATATTTGGATGTATAAGAATAATTTTACCGTATATGTGCAATCCTTCAGAAGTTGAAGATGATGATACAGTACAGATAGATACTTTGTTACAAATTTATGAACTATGTTTACATTATACCAAATGGCATTCTGATCATAATGTTATAAATGCTGTTTTGGAAACGCTGACTCAGCTTTTGAAATCACCTCCAAAAGCTTTAGTATCTTTATTGTTATCAAATCCAGGTATAACACATAGTAGAATAGCATTGAATCAAAATGAAATGTCATTATCCTTAAGCCAAGCAAGTACATCTAGTATTGCCACTGCTTATGGAGAAAATTCTGAATGTACTTTAAATTTACTCGATTCTGATATACCTGAAATAAATTTAAAAATAGAAAAATGGATATTAGACTCCGAGACGGTACTTCCCTCGGGGCAAAATGTGCAAACTTCAAGAGAAAGTTCAAACGAAATTATAGAAATGAAAGGAAAAATTTTGGAAAATTACAGTGGTTTAAAAATTGGAGCTATTGACAGTAAGAGAAAACGTACAAACGAGGACATGGTATTTTTTACTGAACAAACGCGTTATGCATAATTTGATTTCAGATGAAGCGATCGAAGAGGGTAGTGATGTCGGAAGTGAAATAGAAAAATCCGAGAAAAATTCACATCCAGGTTTACAGAATGTGGAAGGAAAAGAAGCAGATGATTCTGAAGAAATCTCATGGTCTATGGCTTCTACTAAGAAGCTATCTTTGGATTTCTCGTCACGGGAAATAGACGTTGGAACTTTTACAGATCCTGATATACCTTTGAAATTTTGTTGTCGTTATTTGGTGTCATCTTTTCTCTTAACTGGCAACGCTGGTCATGTAATACCAGATAAATATTTTCGCGTTAGTGTAAAATCTCTCGCTTTAACTTGCGTGGCTTATATTTTAAAACTTTGTCCAAATCTGTTTTTAATTCCTGTTGCCAAAGAATCGAATCCTAACGAGAACGAACAAATGATAACGGATATCTTATTGTTTGCAAATCATCCAGATCCTCAAATTAGGGGTAATATATCAATTATTATTGGTACTTTCCTGAAATCCGTGTATACTCAATACGGTGGGTCTTTTAAAAAGTTTGAAGCAGATATTACAAATAAGAAAGTACGTGGAAGTATATCGTTAGAGAATTTAATTAAACTACTTATAAAGGTAAATACTCGTTTATATTACATTTTGAATGTTTTGCAATATTGTCTATGGTTGTCTTGAAAATATTGATACGTTGATTTTGAAAATATAGGGATTAGAAGATGATTCTGCTACGACATGTCGACAAACGCTAACGGCATTCACTTTATGTCTGCCAGAATTGTTAGAATCTGTTGACAATAAACATGGAATCACCGTGTTAACTGCATTACCTCAGCTAGTAAAGAATCCATATTTTTTGGTAAAAGTTAAATTAGTGGAATTATTGAGTGAGATATCGTACGTTACTATAGAACATATAACTGGTGGAACAATGTTCCAAGAACATTTCATTGATGTTATCATAACGCTACTAGGTGATCAAGATCAAAGAATTAGACATGCAGCATCAGATGCTATTGTAAAGTAATTATCGAAGTTTACGTTATTCATTAACATATTTTTGCAAGTTTTATTTCCTTGATTAATAAAGAGTCCTTTTTCTAGGAGTATTCCTCTGTTACATTTTCAACAGCCACACGACGATGTAATCACACGAAAAGCTGTACAATACACGGAACAGTTTTTAAGCGCTGTGACCAGAAGTTCCGTGGAATTGTCCTCCTGTCAGGAGAAACAAAAATTCTTTATAAACACGTCTATACAGCCATTTGCAGCTTTGAATTCTCACAACGTAGTGAACTATCGTCCGAACGTAGAGTACTCTTTGTCAATTGTAATCAACATGCTGGCAGAGATCCTTGGAATACAATCGTCAAAGTATTTAGTGTACGGTTGTTGCGAAGCTCTGTTTCGTTTAAGCGACGCGTATAGCACTACGGTATACATTAGAGGATGGGATTGTGTATCACCAAAAACATTATTGAAAAAGTCCCAGAAAAAAAGCGGTAGCCGTTTAGATATTAGCGAGTCAAATTTTACAAGCGACATGATGCCATCGTCTGTGAGCAACGGTCTTTTATCTTTAGCATTACCTTTACTATCGTCATCTCCTATAAGCTTAGACTTATCAACGCATAAACATCTTATTCTACTTGCTGGAAACCTTGCATCAGGTCTGGCTTTTTGCAATTTCAAACCGAGCGATCCGACTAAACCTTGGTGTGGCACGTTTAAGGATAAACAAATAGAATTGTTGTTAATACATGTTACGCGAATGTTAAATATATTTGTTCATATAATTGATGATGTACAATTGACACAAACCAGTACAAAAACAACGTTACTGTCCCTGTCGTCCACGCAAACTTTATCTCCGAAGAAGAAGATAATGATGTCCGAACCAAAGTCGAAAGAGAAAGGAGAAAAGTTTGGAAAGGAGCAAACGGGCGCGTTCGTTTCGCTACCGCATTACATGAAAATGTATGAGATTCTTAAAGCGGCACACATGAATTACATAGCTACCCTTGAGCCGCATGCCAGTGAAATGTACTTGTCCCTGTTAAACGCGATTCTAGACGTCCTTTCGCAAATTCTTGAAATTATATCGGTTAATGAAGCTGCTCAAATCGCAGAAGAAATTTTGTATTATCTACAAAGTACCGTGGTACTATCACCGACTGCGACTGTCCAATGTGTTCAGCAACTGTTGAAGTGTTTATTCAGTACAAACGTGTGTGCACAGTGGAATGAATTGAACGTACAAAAGAATTCAGACAGGATGACAGTACCGTGGGAGGACATCGAAGGATTCTACAATCACTGTTTTCAAAATCCTGCGAGACAAATGGCGGACACTATCAAATCTATGGGAAATAATTGCAGAGGAGAAAACGAACCGGATACTGGGTAAGTTTAGTTTTTCGCTCCAGGTGCGTAAATGCTGTTTCACAAGTTTGTCTTACAGTAGAGTAACTTTTCATTTCAGATGGGTAGGCTTGTTACGTAGGAAGGGAGATAGAAAATTTTCTTCTATTTTTAAGAATTTGGCACGATCGTCAGATCAGAAAAGTTCCGTAGCTTCGTTCATTCGTCTATTCGAACCGATGGTTATAGAATCCTTAAAACAGTACACTGTAACGAGTAACGTGTCGTTACAGTGTCAAGTATTGATGCTGCTCAGTCAATTAGTGCAATTACGAGTCAACTATTGTCTGCTGGACTCTGATGGAATATTCATTGAATTTGTGCTAAAACAATTCGAATTTATCGAGGAGGGTCATGTGCAGCAAACGGAGGATCTTCTGCCAAAGATCTTCAATTTCTTGGTGCATTTGTCCTATGAGAAAAACCATTCAAAAGCTATAATAGGAATCCCAAAGATCATTCAATTATGCGACGGACTTATGGCAAGTGGTCAGCCAGCATTGACACACTGTATACCGGCACTGGCTCCAGTGGTGGAAGATGTATTTTTAATTCGTAATGCAAGCTCAAATCCGGTAGAACAAAGGGAACTGGAGACAACGAGAGAGGTTCTAATTTCGATGCTGTTACGACTCGTCGAGTATTACCAAATCATCGAGCTTTTGGCGTTATGTTTGACAGAGTCTAGGTTCAGTGGAGATGGTAACGGTGAAGAAAAATGGAGAAGATGGTCAAGACTGACGATGGACTCTGTCCTTCCTATGTTAGCATCAGGAAAAATTCGAATAGAATCAGAGAAAGCGCACGTCGCTTTAGTTAAATTGTTGGCGGCCATTTCCCCCACAGTGCTCAGGCCAGTTGACCCACTTTTGAAAGTACTTCTCGTTGTACCGGATTCTTTAGATACGTCGAGTTTGAAATTGAAACGGTGGTTAGGGATGATTAACGTTGTCTTGTTGTCTCTGATTGCTTGTTCGAAGGAGGAGGCAATGCTTGCCCGGCTTTCTGATCTAAGTAGTACAAATATATCCGAATTAATGCACTCGTTTCTTCTTCCGAAATATCCCTCCTGTCCTGAAACTTCTGATCCCCTGAACGTTTTAGACAGCCAGTCCGTTGAAATACCACCAGAGAGAATATTAGCTAGGTTTATATTTAAGGTAATTAGCTTGGTAGGTTCGAAAGTATATAATCTCCTTGGATTGGTCGACCATCAACGTCAACAGAACGATCCGTATATTGGATTTTCAGAATCTATGGAGGATGATTGGTATTTGATTCATCAATTTTCGTTCTTTCTGCAGTTGTGCATACACATGTTCGAGTCTGGAAGCCACTGTAAAGTAGCCAATGCCACTATACAGATGATTCAGGGTCGAAATGTTCTCGAAGAAGAAAAACTACCGATAACCGACTTGAATTGTCTGATGTTAAACATTGGAAACAAGTGTCCAACGTTAACTTGCCAGTGGGCCTATGTAATGACTTTATTAGGGTACAATGAAATGAACTTTTGGTCAAAAGTATTGGGTACTCGTACACGATCCGAGTACATTGTGCATTGTTCTCCAAGCGAAGAAAAGGCAAGCGATGAACAGGCCAGCAGTATCAATATTCAGATTATCCGGAAGGGTGGTATTATACTGTTCTGCGATTACGTCTGCGAGAATTTGAACGACGCGGAACCTCTGACATGGTTACTGGTTAATCATATAAAGGAAACGGTGAATAATGCCATCGAATCTCCCGTCAGAGATCTATTGACAGCAGCTATACACAGAAATCCTGCTGCGAGTGGATTGTTGGTGCAAGCAATTGCTACTAAATGCACAGATTTGTCGCAACCGAGTTTCGTCAAGCGACTTTTCCAGTGCATAGAAGGCGCTCATCACTCTCAAAGTGGAGCTGTTCTAATGACTCTGATACCAAGATTATTGTCCACCAAATATCTTGCTTTATCTAGAATGGCAGCGAAAATAGCTAGTCGAAGAGTAGAGATTTTATTGACCACACCTGCAGCCGATGTGACGAAACAATTGTCGAAAGAGGATTTCGTTAAGATCATGGAGACTTTGCAGTCTACTAAACTTGCAAAGAAACACGGGGGATTGGTCAGCCTGTTAAATAAATTAGGAGTGCAATATTATGACTTGTCTCCTCTGGAACTTGATCAGTGTAGACCATTTAAACCATCCAGCGTGAAAAGTATACAGTTGGATCGTAATTGGTTCTTGTCTCAGGTGAAATTACGATGTTGCAATCCCAATGCTAGCCAGAACCCATTAGAGGCGGCGGAATTATTGAGAGATTTAGATTTCGAAGATTGTCTCGGTATCCTGTCTTCCAAAGAATTCAACGTTACGATCCTCAAGCCTTGCATAATATTAGGCGTACAAACGACTGTCGAAAAGTGCCAGAAGCTCGAATTTGGTGTAGCACAGAATGAGAAAGACTTCAACTTCGAGACTAGCCCGTTATATAGTGCCGCGAAGCAATGTTTATTAGAGCATGTTCGCTATGTGACCGATTTAATGCCGAAACCGCATCATGTTTACAATCCAACGGAATCTCATTCGAAGGAGTCCAAGTACACGCTTCGTTTCGTCGAGCTTCTGTACGAGTCCGCTTATTGGGATATACTTTTCATGTTGATACCAGCTGTGAAGATATACATGAAAACGTTGGAAAAGCTAGCGAATTATAATTTAGCGAAAATCGATAGAAAATGTGAGGAAGATCTGGCGAAATTTGCGATTCTGTGCTTAGAATTAACACACTGGTTGGTACACCGTGACCAGACGAGTATAAAAAAATTGAGGCCAAAAGATATAGAGGTTGCGTTGAGCTGTGCATCAGAGATCTTGAAACATCCTGGCCCGAATAAAATCTTTGGGGAAAACGCGAGGTATTCGTGGGTTTGTAGCGGCGCTGCTTCATTAACAAGAACAGTAGGATATTTGTTAACAACGATCGACGCTTTACCAGTGGTAGACACGCGTGCTCTAGAACCGGCGCTCGGAGACGAGGATACGAAAGATTACGCTCGAGCGTGCGCTCGAATGGCTTGCCTGGTCGCTTGGTTGGAAAAGTGTCAGAAGGAAGGATCGTCGAAAAATATTCCTCGATATCTCTTCGACACGATAAAAGACTTGATCGTGAGTATAGCTCGGCAACCATTGGTAAATTCTTTCATCTTAACCCCGCCACTGGTATGGAAACAAAATTGGAAGGTTGTTGGCTCTGGTCCAACCAAATGTTACTTCCCATTATTACCCTCTGAATCGAATCTCCTTCAGGAGGTGGAAATCTTGGAGCAATTTATTTATAGGATCAATTTGTTAGGCTGGGTTTCGCGTTTGCAGTTCGAGGAAATATGGATGGCACTTTTAGGAGTGTTGAATATTTCTCAAAACGAGAACGTATCATCCGAAGATATTCCAGTGTTGATTCAAGCGAGTAGTTTAGCTCTACAGGCCATAACTAGATTATTGTTGCAAACTTTACTTCTTCCTTACCCTGGAAATCCAAGGGCTAGCACTTTGATGCATCATCCGAGGGATCCTCAGTTATCGGTTCATAAAATCAGCTCGCAGAAATTGTACGCGATTCAAGATTTGCTCACGTGGAAATACGAGTGTGTGAACGATTCAGAAAACATCGGTGGATTTAACATGGATCATATTTTTCATCGAGGAAACGTGGAAAGAGTAGCAAGCTCGAATAAATATACGTACAGTCAACTCTCCGTTTCTTACTTGTGGTCTCAGTGCAACTTGTACGAGGACAAGTTAAATGCCTCCGTCCTCAACCTGAAGAACAGACGAAACGACGCGTTGATGTCCGCGTCGCTTGATATAGATTCCTGTCTTCGTTTCCTGGTGGAACTTTACACGTCTTGGATGTCTCCTCAAGCCAACACACCTATACACCTGCTCACGGAGGTTGTTAAATCTATTCTAGCAATTTCTGAATTGTTCGTGGAAAGAGGTCAGTATCAATGGATGCTGGACATGTGTTTGGATATATCCAGGATTCATCCCACGGAGAACATTATATTGCATCAATATTTGGTGGTTTCTGTGTGCAAGGCTGCTGCAGTACTAACACCATTGGTACGTGTATTTTCAAATTCGTCTTCTTCTTTTTCCTTCGTACAAGTTTGCCTCTTTATCATTATCTTTATTACGCGTTGAAGGACTTTGAGACGTTGGATAAGGTTAAGCGATTAGTAGACGCGAATCTTAAGTCAGGCTTTTTGCCTGCGAGGGTATCCGCGCTACATGGCTCACTGTACCTCTTACAAAGTGCTGTACTTGCAAATTGCGAGGAGACGATGAATATTATACACCCTTTAGCGATAGAGTATATACAGAAACATCTAGATGCGCAAGACTCGATCGGGTAAGAATTTTCGTATGTATTATACATACATTATATATTGTGTGTATCGTTAATCACATTTCGTATAACGTTGCCAGAGTAAATTATTTTTCTAATTTAGCGTATTAAATCAAAATGAAGAACATCAGGGCGTGATGTGGGCTTTGGTATTTTTTTTACTGGAACACGCGGAAGACACACCTCCAGATACAGAAGCTCCGGCTGTGTTAAAATTAGTTCTCACTTTACTCACGTCTCAAAATATTTCTTGTAGCTTGCATCAAACGCTTATGCAGGTATACTAAAGCGTACTATGTACACTGCTCCCCCTAAAATCTATCTGGCAGAATATTAATCATTACGTCTATGCAATCGATAGGGACTCGAGCGACTCGTAGCAACGAAGACCGTGATCGGGAAGGTTGCTGAACAGATAGTCAAAGTTGCGATCGATCGGTTGAAACAGCCTAGTCCCATGCTGTCGTTACCAGCGTTGCAATTGTTGTTGACCTGCATGTACACAGAAGCGGCAGATAAGTTGAACCAGCCGGAAATTGAGGAGCCTTTACCGGACGTGGAACCAGAGGCTTTGGTTCGATCCATAGAGCGCACTTCTGCGATTTTCGACAAAATTAGGAGAGGACATTCGATGGAAGTGGAACTTCTATGCACGGTTTTGTCAGGTGTTCTTGGAGACTTCTTTCCACCGTCTGAAATTTTGACTAAAGTGATAGGAGAATTTTTGTCGCCGCAGCAGCCTCATCCACGACTACTTTCCGCCGTGGTCTTTAAAGTTCGTACCGTGCTTCTTCTTTCTAGGAGATTCAGAACAAGTAAGTCGATTTAATAAAACGTTCGTCATTTGGAAATTATTTGATCGAATAGGTTTGCGAAAGAGCGTGCACTTGCGCGCAAATGGAACTTCTTCAAGACTGGGTCGTATTTAGTTTACCAAACTTTATTCAGAGTTTACCGGTGACGATGTCAACCTGGTGCTTGTCTTGTTTTTTTATTAGTGCATCTACGAACCATTGGCTGAGAGCCTTGTATCCTTTTAAGTTTTTTAACAATTTCTCATTGCCATGATTTATTTCTCCATGAGAAGGTTTCCTTAATAACCCGCGTAGATTTCCTTATATCCAATCGAGAATTGGTAAATACGAATACGAAGATAAAAAGATACTGTGCATCGCTGCTTCCGATTTTTATCACAAGCTACAAAAGGTACGAAGGGAACCCAAGCATAAATTTCAGAATAACAATGAGATTTTTACTCTTTCGATAGTTGCCACAGGAAACTCAAAGGAAGGCTTTTGTGGAAACTTTCGAAGCAGCGGCAAAGGAACCTGGAACACCGTTCAGCGACATTTTAGCGTCCCTCTAGCTATGTAGTTTCATTACTGGATCACCGTCTCGATACGAGAAGATTCAATCAAAACGGGGGAAGTATTCATAGAAACGTTCTTCTTTTTAAATCTCCATTGTAAATTGATGTATGTACAATCGTTGCGCAGTGTAAGTACACTGATATGTGTATGTGATGATATTTATTTTACATCGTGTCCTGGTGAGGAGAAGCGATTTCTGTACAATAAACAATATTTTTTAAATATTCGCTGCCTTTTTGTGCATTTTAATTTTCATCAACTTTACTACATTAAGATTAATTGATCGTCACATTTGTCTTCTGCTTCTGCTTCTGCTTCTGTTTCTGTTTGTTCCGTTTTATGTAAAAGCATACATGCAAGCTACAGTAATAAAATATTTCAACGAAAGATAACACACTGGCTCCAAGAAACAACCCTGCAGCTCCTCCAACGCTAGCTGTAATAAATGTTGTTCCATTTTAAACAGATTTTTATTACATTATTAGGCCATTTAGAATATTATACATACTTAGATAGAGGTACGTACTTAGAAAATCGGTAAATCCATATAACATCGTTCGATAATAGATCACTTGTGGAAATTCGACGATTAAGTTCATGACGGATAAATTCACCGGTGTATCGTAGCTGAAATAATTCGAGAAATAATTATTTTATCCAATTTAGTATACGAATTTAATGTACACGCTTGGATAAGTTTGGACATAAGTACAATTCGGCATTTTCGGTAATTCCAACTTGATAAGTAACGACGTTGCATTTTGGGACGCAGTTACAAACAGGGGGTGGATACTCGTAGAGGAAAAGAAGATTCGTTATACGGCCGATGCATCGAAGCTGCGTTACATTGCACGTATTTATTCCGTCTGTCGAAGAATGAAATGTTTGATATACATTTTGAAAATAGTCCTTCTCTCTATTAAATTACAAACCTATAGGCCTGGCAAAGTGTGGACGACAGTTGCAATGATTTTGTATCACTTTCATTCTACATTCCGTTATGCACATGTTTCTAGTATAAATTGGCCATGTTTCTAAGCCACCGTCGTGAAGAAATTTACACTTTCTTTGTTGAATACGAAGCTCTTCAACGTTTGGCGTTGTTTTAATCTCAGATATCGATATGATCCCTTGTTGCATCGTTCTTGATTTCGCCAATTTCATAGGTGTGTCGTACACGATTAATTCAGAGGGATCACACACGCCTATCTGATCAAAGAAAAATCATATTATACTACGGACCTTCTATTTCTATTCCCCTTACACGTGTATTCGATGTTTAAGCTGGATTCAGATATCACCATACCAGAGCACTGCAGTTTATACCGAAGTTTTCTTGTACACCATCGACATTATAATAGGGCAATTCGTCTGGCACCGGAATCGTAGTCCAATTATTACTTCTCCAATAACTTTTCATGTGTACAAAATTCAATTTATCGTCCTATTATTTCCTTCATTTAGAGAATGAGAATAATGATTTCACTGAATTTATACTAACTCTAACGTAGCATAAACTGCAACGACACTTCTGGTTGAAAAACAGATGCCCCTTTCTGTTGTTATCCAGCCCTCGTAAGGATCGTTCTCTTTCAATATGTTATTAGGAACATGCTGTCGCAAATCGTAAAGAATTTCCAACCATTTATCTGCTGGAACTTTGTCAAACAAAGGTGTCTCCGTCATATTTTCGTATGTGGCGCTACTAAGAAATGTGAAGAACTTTTCCGCTTCCGGTGTATGTTCAATGTTATATCTGTGAAAGTTGTAAAAAACTTGACAGTGTATCCGTCGGTAAAGAAAATCTCTTTTTTCTTTGGATCTTACTTTTTGAATACATATGGAAACTTTTTATATTCCACGTTTGGTAATGGACAAATAAATAGAGCTGGCTTTGATATTTTAAATTGCTCTTGATTGTTGTCTACCACGATCACTGTGGCGTTATTTTGATATCGGTCCCAAAAAATAAACGACAACAGAATGAGACAGACCAGGGCTCCGATAATGAACAGTAGTGCTAGTAAGCTTGTGCAATAAAGTTGACAAATTATTAGAAACTTATTAGAAATTTGTTGTTACCGGTAAATACAGATGAAGGTAGGTGTATTACATCTCAAGAGGATGTCTATTCGGTGTTACCAAATGATTTAGACCGTGTAGAGTTGAAGAGCTCGCGAATTCTACAAAGTACTTTCCAGTGTTTGATTTTGGTTTGATGGTTGGCATGCCAATCTGCTTTGGAAGGTCTGCGGCTACGAATTCTTTTCCCTTTAACGTGGCTTTCGACCGAGCTTGAAAGTCCGCTAATATTTCATTGTTGTAGAAATAATTGCCTCTCATTGGTGTCATTTTTCATACGTAGTTTCGCTTTCCCGCACATGCACTGATCGCTTTTACGTGAAATATGAAAAAAACACCGATTCTCATCGATCGATCGGGAGTCACGAGAGATCAGTGCACGCGACTATTAATTATGTACGATACCTGGAAGTAGATCGATAGAATAGATAACGCGCTGTGATAAGTGGATAATCTGTACTTATAAAAATCCATGCGAATGATAGAATAGAAAGAACACACCCTATCTATTAAACATATTTGAAATTTTAATCATCCACATGAATTTCCACTGCCTACTCCGACACTGCATGAAGAAAACACCCGTGAGTCAATTTTTTACCGCGCGCGTTAGACTTGCGGTGTTTTTGGTATATACAAACTTAACTTTTTCTACGTTTCTTAGTCTTTTTCGTTTCGGCGGTTCCCCTTAATGGCAGAGAAACGACCACTAGTCTAGCCGGAATTTATTATGAACGAAGCTCAATTTGGCTTTACCGGGTTTCGGGTTGTCCAGCATGTCGAGAGGTGCAAATTTCACGGTGAATTCTGACGACGTTGGAACTATGACACAACTCGAGACAGAATCGGTTAGGTTCCTTTCGTTTTCTTTTTTTCCTTTTTTCCTTTAACACGGCCGATGGGACAAGTTTCCACCCGTTGTTCAATGAGTTTTTTTCAGGATTCGGAAGAATTGTTGGTCGAAAGTGACGAGCATTGTTTCCAATGCAATCAACCACGGTGCGACATCGAACCGACAGAACTGGAGAAAAGGCGGAGCAGAAAAACGCAACATATTTTACGGCATTGTCCCTCGTGTCACTGCTCCCAACAAACGGTGAAACGTTCGACTAGAAGAACCAAGTAATTATACGATGAATTTGTGACCGAATACGGACAACAGATCAGCATAATTTTATTGTTACGTTAGGACTCCGAAACACATGGAGGCTGTTTTAAATTGTTACGAAAATTTATTGATAACTCCGACGAATAAAGTGTACCCAAAGTCTCAGAGCAGTTCGTTGTATCCTTGCAAATATCTATCGCAGAATAATTATCAGCAGTCGAGGAAAAGGCCGACGAGCAGTCATCAACGTCAGTATAAAAACGAGGAAGGCCGTATGCTCTCTATGATCAAGAATGTATTAAATTCTGGTGTAGATTACGTACATGATGTTTACTGTGAATGTCCACCGCGATCTCTGAGAAATAACTGTAAGAAAGAGGGTAATAATTGGAGGGACGAGCAGGTAATGATAATCTTTCGAATTGAATATATTTCGAATTATAATTTTATTTGTGGGATAGATGGTGATGGCAGGAATCGCAGGCACTATGGAAATACATGGGGAAACTGCGGGCAAATATATACAGCACAGGAAAGGGCAAACATGGAGTTCGAGGCAGCGCGGTGAAAAAAGCAATGAGAAATACGACTTGAAAGACCACGAAGACAACGATTCGAGGTACACTAGCGGCACGTTGAGATTCAATTTGGCCCAGTACGAGGATTTGAAGAAAATGGACTCGAAACGCGTCGAGGACGATCAAAAAGAGCAGACAAAGAAGAAGTCTTCTATCTTGAAAACGTGCAGTTTGCAAACTTCGTTGAAAACGAAACATATCAAAGACGTGGTAAATCTTTTTGCCTCCCAAATGTCTATTATAATATATGTACATGCTAACTTCGTGTCTTCGAATCTTACCCTCAGTCGAAGCCCAAAGTTTCAACGATCGATGATTATTCGAAAGACAAAGACTTAGCGACAGAAGATCAATCGACTTGTAAGCAGCGAAAACAATCTGCCACTCGACAGGATTCTCCTTGCAGTAGGCCGAATGAAGAATCGACGTCTAACGAGGAAGAGGTTAGAGAAGATTCGTATCGTGAGTTAATCGTTAAAGACAAGGACCAGGATAGTTCTTATAGAAAGAATATTTTCGCTGGTGGAGACCTCGATCTTCGTACCACTAAAAGTCACATCCTTGGTGTGATCGATAAGGCTCTCAGCAAAAATTTTGTTACATCGTTGGATCAGCAAAAGGTTTTTCCATTTAAATGAGAATTAACTAAAGTCCATGCGTAAATCACGTCCATCTTTCAGAATGCAGAATCGAGTGAAGGATTAATGGAGGAAGGAATTTGTATAGGGATAGCGCGTACGCTGCAGGCTGATTGCTGTCAACCGCTTGCAGAGGATCTATTCAATCACTGTGAATCGAGGGAAGAGTACATACAGAAGCTGAAAATTCTTAAGTGGGAGTATATGAAACTCATTCAGAACGAGTTTAGGAAACTGTGGAAGCTACAACAATTTCTGGACAATTATTCACCGCGACAACCTTTAGCAGCAACGTTTCAACCACATTCGAGTCCGGTCGAGCAACGAACCGAGGAATGGCAGCAACAGCAACACGAGGAGAAACACAAAAATTTGGGAAAGATTTCTTGAACGTCTCGAACCACTTTTTTTTAGCTATGTCTGTACATGTAGTCGAATAAAAGACTGGAGGCTGTGATATCACAGACACCTGTTTACCATTAGATCTTTAATTTCTATTACCTATACCTTCTGTTGAAAATATATTTTTCTGGAACTATACGTAACGGTCGAAGGTATGCGGAATATTTATTAAAGATAAAAAGAAAAATGCACGATATAAAATAAAATAAATATATTTCCTAATATAAAGAAATAAATACTTTCAGAACCTTGACGTATTTGGAATGTTCGAGTTCGTATCAACCAGCAGCAGTCTCAAATATCCTAAAATCATTTCCATCGATTAGAATCTCGTATTGTCTGGCATTTTAACAAAGTACGCCACTTTATCCTCGGCCACCCTGTAATTGTGAATCCATCTGGAGCCTTTCCTGAGACTGCCGTCAATTCCATCCCTCCACACCCCTGCAGGCAAGTAAACCTCTCTCTGCCTACTACCAGAATAGAGAACGGGCGCCACTATGAGTTCCTCACCCACGGAAAATTCATCCACGACGACATGACAAGCTGGATCAGCTGGATCCAACATCCATAACGGTCGGATTATCGGCAAGCCTGTATTCAGTGTTTCTTTCGCGTATTTTTTCAACAAAGGAGTCACAGTTTTCTGTCTCAAGGTGGTCAACCTCTTGGCTATCTCTAGCACAGATTCATCTGAATATTTACTTGGTAGATGAGTGAAACGTATCACTGGTAAAAATGTAGAGAGTTGTAGCCATCTAATGTACAATTCTTTGTCGGGCAAATTCACCTCGAAATCATTGTCAGGATTATTGTCAGACATGGGAAGAGCCACGTCTCCGCCAACAGCGCCCGGCATAATAAATGGGTACCCAATCATCCCGTACGTTAAAACAGTGGGAATTACTGTCTTGATAGCCTTCCAAGAGGAAGAAAACGGTGGAAGGGAGACGAATACCGGCGCCCTGGGTCTGGAGATCGCGCCAGATACTCCGATCACTGGTACGGAACCCAAGATAGATTTAGTGAACACCGTTTTGTAGTGATCAGGATTAGTTAGTGGTTGCTCGCATTTGTAGTAGTGAGGCATGTCTTGAGCGGTGCCCAAATCGAGGTAGAACGAATCTACGTGATATTTCATGATCAAGCTTTCGAGCTTGGACTGTAGCCAGGGCAGAGTTTTATTGTTCGTGATGTCCAAAACGCCGACACTATTGCTGTGTTTGTATCTGTGGACAAAATCAAATGTTCACTTGGTGGAATGATGGTGCAGCGTGAAAGAAAGGGAAAATATTATCATCGGGGGTATCATACCTAGTTAAAGCCGGTATCCTTGGATCGCTTCCCCTCTCGGAAATCAATAACCTATTGGATACTGCGTCTCGAAAATTTATAGACTCCGTGGATAAAAAAGGCTGGATGGTAAATACGATTCTAAACCCTCGACGATGAATGATATTGATCGTTTCTTCTATCGAGGGGAACCGTTCTTCGTCCAATATGAAGTCACCGGGACTAGGTTGCCATTCTTCGCTTAATAAAACGTGCCCTTGTCGTAGAAAGCCTAAAGCTATCACGTCCTCTGTATAATTGTACACTGCAGCTTCATTTATCGGTGAAATTTGCCAGACAGGCTCAGAAAGTAGAGAGTGAACCGCATGAAGTTCATCTGGCTTCAGACCATCCCATAAGGACTTCTCTGCCATGGAAGAGTGCAAATTCTTCATGTTATCCGTCGCACAAATCGTGTAATTTAGTTGTGGGAATGGTGTCAGATGATTAATATAAGCGAAAGCGTCGTGCTTAGCCTGCAAACAGAAATTATTGCTTCTGTTTGCATTGATGGATATATACAGGGGTGTTTCTGGATCGACCAGAACGGTAGCACCCTTCGAGTTCAAGAAGTATCTCTTCAAAACGTTGCCGAAAGGATGCTTGGTGATGTCACCGGTAATAAAAGGGCTTAAATCGAGGCGTCCACGTTCCAGTGGATAAGGCATGTTTTGTACTTGCCCACCGCCATACCAATGGCCCCTTTTTGGGGACCAATCGAAGCAGTCCTTCGGATTGTAGTGAGGAGTCAAGCTCTGCCAGGTGACGTGGTAACAGTGCATGTCCTCGTGCTTCGCGTGAGCAAGGTATAAACGTGCCTGTTGAAGCCACTCGAGGCAGACTGAGTCCTGCATTTGGTGACGAGCTAGACACGGGAAAACTCCTGTTTCTGTTGGTATTCCTTCGCCTAATCGCGCTGCGATTACTTCGGTTCCAGTGCTACTGTAGACGTGCATCACTCTTTCGTTCTTGTTGAACCTGGAAATGAAGATAGTCGTGCCTTTTAACATATTTGCAAATGATGAAAGTTTCATCGATATTGCTTACCTAAATTTTTCGAAATAAGCCCGCTGAAGAACGTGTTGAGTATAATAAATATGAGCGAAGCCTACGAGAAAAACGACGCAAAGGAATAGTATTCCGACGAAAGCACGAAGTCTGTAAAAAGTTATGAATACAGTCTAATAATTCAAAGTCCAATGATTAAAGTTCAATTTCGAATATATTTACCTGTAGTCAGCGTTCTGTCTCTTTTTACTGCTGCGCAGAGCTTGCGGAATCGATAATTGTAGTTTCTCCTTGAGTAAACTGCTAATGCTGTTAACGCTCGTTATCGTAGAGTTGACGCTCTGCGCCCCGGAAAGCTCCATGGGATTGTTTCCTAATTTTTGATTCATCATTGGTGACATGGTCCTATTTTTCTTTCGAGGAGGAGCTTGCAACGGTACTCTGAACAGTCATGGAAAGAAACGCGTAAAAATCCCATTAAAAAGAACTGTTGCTCTTTTCCTCTACCTTTGCAGAGACACAGCACTGCCTACGTCGTATCTTGGAATCATTTTCCTCTCGAAATTTCACTCTCATCGAATTGATTATCACCGATTAATGTATCATCAAAAGGAGAGATAGAAATAGAAATACAGAGTGTTCGATGTTACGCATAAAGCAACTGGCAGAAAGGCTCGAGAACAAAGCCAGTATTTGTGAGGCCTGAAAATCTCTAAGGTACACAATTTCTTAATCTCGCTGAGTGCATTGTAAATTACACGAGACAACGATACGCAGCACTGTAGCACCAAGTACGCAGAAAGTGCACGCTTCTTTCCACATAGGAGATAGCAGTACAGAAAATAGAAGTTTGTTGTAATGACCAAATGAAGACTGGCTGCTGCAAAGATTGGGAGAGTATGGAGCAAACTCGTAGAGCGATAACCCTGAAGCGATATAGAGAAGGTCGGACTCGAAGATGATCCTCCCACAGTGAACACGACTCTCCAAACAAATTAATACTAGTTTCTATCGATGAGACGAAGGATTCACATGTGCAACGTAGCCTGCTTTTAATTTAACAAAGACCGTTTAAGTTTTAACGAAGGAAAGAGGAGCACGAGGCGCGAGAAGAAAGTAATTTTGAAGAATTCTGATAGATAGCCGATTAAGATTAGATGAAGAAATTGGAAATGTACTTACTTGGCCAGCTGTTCGTCATTCGCTTCTTCCTCGGTCTCAGAGCCAAGCGGACTTCCATTGGGCGTCGAGCCGCTATTGCTGAATGTCACGCTGCTGCTGCTGCTGCTGCTGGTATCATCGCTTTCCGGCCTCGTGAATTTCGAGGCGGTTCCCTGCGAGAATCAACAATTTCAATCTGTTTAAAGAATAAGATAAGAACGAATATTCAGTGACGTTTGACATTTAGGTACTGATCGTGCGATCTTGTGCACTGTGGGCCACAAGAGTCGAACCGAGCCACGATAGAAAGTGAGACCTGTCGTTTTGCGTGACACTATAGAACTGCTTTCGCAGGAACGTAAAACGGCACAGCACAATGTATGCACAGGTTGACGATGGTAAGCATTACGTAATCTCCGAGAAATCATGTCTTTTTTTTTTGATCACGTATGTAGTTCTGTCATATGCGAGGAGCGGTCGAATAAAAAAGTGCTTTAGAATTTTTTTTTTTGGATTATAAACTATTTTTTTTTTTATCATGGAATTGATAATGTAGTTAGGGAACAACTATAGCCCCCTCCGAAATGCAACTTCCCACCACGTGACGCTCACAATCAGCTGTTTGGAAGGAAGTGTATCTATTTGTATTTCAGAAGATCTATAGTGTATGCGAAAAACTCGCGAATGGAAAGCGAACCTCTGTTTCTCCAATAGCGGCTAGCGCCCTTTCCAGAGAATAGATGGAACTGTATTTCGGATTCTTGACATCCTTCTTCTTCATCGATAATAATGGTTCTTTTTCCTCCGAATTTTTCATAAAAACAACAAATACGCGACACTGTGTGTAAAAAGTTTATCGAAATTGCAATTTAACTTGTTTGGAAAAGAAAAAAGAAAAATACTTTTGGTAAGAGAAAACACCGCAGCTTCTGTCACGAATACCTTCTCCGTTTCTGGTAAACACGTGCCGATATTTCCTTGCTGCTGATATCCTTACTTGCTGTTGACGGTCTTTGATTGCTTGAAACCAAGAATATACGCGCGATATTTGATTTGTGAACGTCTACGAGGAGGGATGTACATGTTTATCAGGAGAATTCGCATTGCCAAGTGTGAACCAACAGGCAAGGTCTTCTGTTGGTTCTTCCATGAATTTGACTACTTTTTTATTATACCTTTTGTCTATCAATTCGTAAATCTTCCATCTCGTCTAGATTACTGGGCATCGAGATACTTGTTTTACGTATACGTGTTGCAGAAAGTTGCGCAGATTCTTCGAGCCCCCCTGTTGCCGCTATTCCACTGCCGGTAATTTCTCCAATTTTGTCCTTCGACGGTGTTGTCCTTTCGTTATATTCTGCCGCCACGTTGGAGGCGTCTGAAAAGTCGTGCATCATGTCTTTCTTAAATTTACCCTACCTCTTTAACAATACCTGGTCAATGGAAATATTAAGGTTACTTTTTGTTTTCATTCGTTTTTGTTTTTCTCACATTAGCATTTAAACGTCAAGTTTGACACGTAATATAACCGTAACCACGAAGAAAAATGTCAATGAAGAACGCAGCACTTCCTTCTACGTGAAATGTAGAAATAGGAAACGGAATAAAAAGGAAGCCGACAACTTTGAAATATCGCGAAGATGTGTGACTGCCAAGTAGATAAAAAGATCGGTGATAATGCTGGTGGCCCGGAAACGGTGATGCTTTTTAAAAAGTGTCCAAAATCTTATCGTCCAGGGAAAGATGTGACGAGAGCATCGAGTGATACAATTTTAGATAAAGATGCGTGGGTTCCCGGCGATTCCTCGCAGTCCGGTTTTGCGTTCACAGCTTGTGATTCGATTAAACGATCCTTATCCACCTCAAACAGTTACACCAGCTCCACCAAAACGGTAATTTCACAATAAGGTGTTTTGATAAATCTTCTTTACAAATAATTCTCAATTTTGTATAAAGCCTAATAGTTTTAATTGAACAGTACAAGTTCGTCAGTCCACGAGAATGCGAGTGTTTCGGAGAAGGCGAAGAAGAACCTTGGCAACCACCGGTATTTTCTTACGAGCCCTGCATCGAGGAGGAAGAAGTTGAAGAAAGGCCAGACATCGAGTGTACTTTGGCAATTATAAAGCCGGAAGCAGTAATTTACAGAAGACAAATCGAGCAACGTATATTCGAGGAGGGTTTCGAGATCTACCAAACTAGATGGCTGCAATTGACGCCAGAGCAAGTTTCCGAATTTTATTCGGACAGGTATGGGCAGATGAATTTTGCTCATTTTGTTGCCTACATGGCATCTGGCCTCATAATCGTTCACGTTTTGGCGAAACGACGCGGTGTACAAGAGTGGAGGCTTCTCATAGGACCAACGAAAGTAATTTAAAAACGGTAAGAATTGTGGAAAAATTGTACAATTGCAAAACACTTTAGGTCGCTGAAGCTCGCTTATATTACCCTGATAGCATAAGAGCAAGATACGGTAGAAGAGGTGAAGAGTTTAAAAATGCAGTTCATGGAAGCAACACTCGCAAAGAGGCCGAAAAAGAAATTCATTTCTTTTTTCCTGAGTGTAAGAATAGCCATAGAATAATTTAAAAAAAGAAAAACTTAGCGATGATTGGAGAAAATTTATTTCAGTCATAATCGAACCTCTTTTGAAAAATAAAACAGCAGTCGATTATTTATGGGAGGTGCTCAATCCTATTCTCGTGGAAGCTCTATCTTTGGTAAAACGAATGACTAATATGTAAGTATGATCAACTTTGTTAGTAATGATTTGGAAATATTTCTTTACACAGTGCTGTAAATTAAAGCCCGCAGACCCTGTTCTATGGCTAGCCAATTGGCTGATCATGAATAATCCTAATAAACCGAATCTGCCACAATATCTCGTTACGATACCATAACTTTTTGTTACTAATAAACCAAATATCGTCTCACCTATTGTGGTTGTTTCTTTCGGAGATTCGTGACGTTGACATGGCGTTCTTCTGCTTATTAGTATTCTGTGTGAGCCAGCCAGAATAGGACTATACCTTAGAAAAGAACGTAGATCGCGTTCACTAACTATTAATCATTTAATAGAATGAATATTTTCGAAGTACCTTGAAGTTACCAAATTTTTCACGACATTCACCAATTCTGCGTCTTCGAAAGATCCTCGACAATGTGTCTCATCAGTTTCTTTGGTTAATTTGCAACGTTTTTCCTCGATCTTTTCATCATCGTCTACCCCAGAATTCGTGCTTTCCCTTCCTACGCAGCTTTCTTCCTCTTGTGCTGAATTACTTTCCTTGAAATGACTGTCACTTGGTAAATTAATTGTTCTCGTGGAATACGATTGTAAACGATTCTTCTCGTGAACACGATTCACTTTGTCTAATCGTGAGCCCCAAGTGGAACTTCTGTGTCTAAAAAAGTGAACGTTTTCTTTTCTTTTTTCATTCGTTTAGAAAACGATCGAAGAAAAAGGAAAGCGTAATCAAGACTGCGTTCTACCTAGGTCGATCTTCGTTCTCGAAACGCACTCTTGTAGTCGTTCCAACGTTGCGCTCGTGATCGAAATCATCGCACGTGATTTCCGGTATCACGCCGTACCACATTAACCCATTGCCGTCCGGAATTGTCTGCTCGTCCCGTAGGCCATAACTCCTGTTCGAGGTCTTCGCCTCGTTCTGCGTCTTCTTTCTCGTCGGTTTTTGCAGTGTTTCCGGTGAACAGGATCTCACTCCACTTGGAGACCTTTGAAGAAATGAAAAGATCTCGCGTTTTCAGCAAACCTTCCGAAACTTGATCAACTCTAAAATCTTCGTCAGTATAAAACTAGGTCTGCATTATGCAATGTTTGTTTTGCAATCCTTACTATGCAATTCTCTTCAAAATCCGAATTCAACAAGTGGGACGAAAGATTGCAATACGAAAGAATTGGCGAGCGATTTACCTGTTGGGCGATTGCCAAGGATCCACCCAGGTAGGTTCATAGGAGTTCGTTTGAAGAGTTCCCGTGGTGGGAAATCGTTCCAACTCGGTGGTGTAGGCTGGCTTGTACCAAGGTGATGGGATTCTGATTATTCTACCTGGGGACAACGATTCGTGCACAGTAGTTTGATTCTGTTGCGGCGACTGCAAGGTGGACAATGTAACGCCTCGTCGTTCTGCCAGGCCGACTGGATCGACACTGGCTACTCGGACGTCCCATGGATCGACGATGGAGAGCAATACTTTCTGCGCAAACAGAATAAGGACGGTGAGAGTGTGATGAGGGGGGGAAA